AATGTCAGGTGGGAAGTGTGTCTGTGGGGTGAGATTTCTTACTGAACAGCAGCTCCAATAGAGCAGAGAATGATGGTGAAGTACAAAGCACGGGGCTGTGTCCACTTGTGTTCTGTCTCGTTGCGGACAGCATTAATCTCCTCATCGGTCATGTCAGGCACAGAAGCATACAACTGAGGGTCGCGTGCCACGAGAGCACCCTTCCTCAGGTAAGGAAGAATCTCAGTCAACTGAAACTCTTGAGCAAACTCCTCAACATCATGAATCACTTGAGCTGGAGTCAAGTCGGCAAGAGGATTCTTGATCCTAGGTTCAAGTTAGCAGCTGCAGTGTGGATCGTAGTACAAGGAAATATCAGGACAATTTACTTGGCAGTGACATTGTTGTTCAGATTGATGTGCTCAGCAGTGCCCTTCTCCATAGTTTCAGGCTCAGTACCAAGGCTGTACATGTCAATTAACACGGGAATGATACAAGAAGCCAGCTGAGATATAGGGGCACCTACCTCTGGTCAACCTCGGCGTCGACCGACTGGATCTGAGACCCTTCCTCCTTTGCCATAGTGTTGGTCAGGACTAACGCCGATAGGCAGGTGTCTTGAACTGCAGGGCTTAGGCAGGATAGAGATCGCTGATATGTAAAATGTGGACAAAAAGGAGAGAACCACTTCAAAGAGAAGAGAAGAGAAGAAGAAGAGGAAGGAAGGAAGAGAGAGAGAGAAAGGAGTGATTGGGGGGACGAGAGAGATGATGGGAAGAAGAAGAAGAAGAAGAAGAAGAAGAAGAAGAAGAAGAAGAAGAAGAGGAAGAGAAGAGAAAGTGAGGTAAGGGAAGAAAAGGGAAGGCGAGAGACAAGAAGATGGTCGAGGGACGGACAAAGAGTGCAAATGGTGAGAGGGCGGATCCGACCCCGGCGGGCTGGGTTGGTTACATTCACCAAACTGCTGCTAAAACACCCCTTTCGGGGGACATAACCACGGGGCTAACAACTTTATCTTTCAGTCTGGAGTTTCTGACAGTGATGCAGTGGTATGATTTACTTCCAGTGATCCTGCTATGGTTCAGTACACCTAGAGAAGAAAGAGACACTGTCTTTATCTCAACTCAAATATCTTCGATGGACCGGATATGTTGGAGAGATATAAGACTTCTTCAAGACAAAACAAAGAGTATAAACAGACTCTCAGCACATTCAAGTCAAGTGATGTCGATCTGACATGAAAGATCAACCCACCCCGGCTTCCCCAGGTCTCTCGGACAATGGTTCCAGATCACGGTTACCAGTCGGAAGATACCTAGATTGCCAGTAACCTAGGTACTTTGCAGTGTCAGGTGCGTGTCTGTGGGAGGTGACATGCTTTATCTGGCAAAGAAAGTACTGTACTAGGTACCTGGTAGTTACTACAAGAAACACAAAGTCCGATCCAATGACTCTGCTTCGAAACTACGTCAACGTACGGCTTGCCACCACAAGCCGTCCTCTTTGCTAAGGTCGGTCGCTTTCAAAATATAACAAGACATATTCGTATCTCCTCTTCTCTTTAAAGATCAATGGTCTCGTCTACTCACTATTCTTTGCTTTAATTCTCAATCTCTATTCGCCATGCGAGGACGATGGCCGCGTCCCGTTGTGACACGAAAGACGACACTCGAGTCTTGCATACCAGAGACTGGCGGTAGACCAGATTTCTGACAAACCACGAAATCGGATTCCGACCAGCAAGGTATCTATCTTTCACTTCCACCAATCCTGATGCGAGCCTCGCACAGGAACTGGTGTGACCCCAGAAGACTAGACCACTGATTTGGTGGTTCCCCCCGCCTGAACGATGGTCCCCCACGGGGATACCAAACTACTTCGACGCGGCATGGCTATGATCGGCTAATTGTCGAGCTTAAGTCTTCCTAAGTATATCTTGTTCCGTCTTTCCAATGACTGGCTAACCATTAGATCTAGTATCAGGATTGTCGTATGCCACGGAATCCTACTATCTAAATCTACCTACTTTGACGTTCCTCGTTCGGACAATTCCCCCGTTTCTTTCATTGATCCAGACTCTCGTGCAAACCCAAATCGGGGTCCATCAAAGAATCCACAATAACAGGCCGCAGACACACCGAGGCCGATCCAAGGTTACGGAAGCGGGTCTCAGAACAGTTCTTTATCTACGAAGGCTTCGCGGGAGGCTTGCAGGGGTACAGCGCAGTGCAGGCCACGCACCTAGCCGTTTCGAAACACGAAGTGTCACTGAACCGAGTAACTCTGGATCAGGAGAGGGCCAGGGTCGGCTTTGAAGATATCCAAGCCTGACCGCTGATTGATGGCAAAGCACTTGGTTTAGGCCCAGCGCTCATGGTGAGCCTCTGATCATGTGTGTAAGCACTCGTCGCTGTAGCGAGATTGCTTCAGAAATGGCCAATCCAGAGAAAATGACTAAGGCTGAGATGATCATCGAAAGGCGAATCAAGCTTCCTCCCCGCACGAGGTTATAGCGCCATGCAAGCGAAGCTTGGTTAGGCTTAATTAGGTCTTTTGGCGACATCCTCCGCATGCCTCGAAGCCATGATGGATACATCAATTTTATGGTACTAATAGCTAGGACTAGATGATTTCAGCCTATCGATTCTACATCACGAAGGCCAGGTTGCGTAAAGACACCAAGGAAGCTAAACTCTAGAATCCTCTTGCGTACAAAGTCACTCTGATGCTAAACGCAGTGGCGATTGACAGTGCTCTATCTAATGGTAAACAAATACATCTATAAAGGTCTATTGCGTCTCTTCTATGTAAGGTCATGTGTATACAACAGAATTCTTGACAAAGAGCTGCAGAAGCAGAGTTATACTTGGGGCCGTAAGATGCTGAGAGCACCTCCAGCCAGATGAAGACTGCCAGTCACGAGGATCTGAGCACCGCCTTGCGCAGCGCCGATTCTGTTAGCCAGTTTGATCGCGCCCTCGATAGTTGCTTCACTCGAGACTGAGGCCTTGGCATCACGTTGTCTCCACAACGAAGTATATATGGAGCACATATCTGGGAATGGGGTCTCCGGAACTTTAAGGGTTTTATCTATCATGGATGTCAGCTCTGGATCAGCCAGGGAAGTTGTTGCGATACTCGCCTATCCTGGTGGATCCATCTTCCCTCTCCTCGTACGTGGTAAATATGACATATTCCGGCATAGCCCGCAATTCCGCAAGCGCCTTCGCCAGGCACTCGACAAGGTCAACCCCATCACGCTCCTCTGAGAAGTGGCTGAAAATCAGAATGCGGCATCTGATTCTGGGGTCAGCTCCAATTGTCTGACTACGAGAAGTGGTCCGACTTACGGATTTGTTGTAGGCGTGTTGGTGTTTGAGACAAACCATGCAGCCGCTTGCCCGAGACTCAACGTGTTATGAGCCCCATCTATAAACCACCGAGATGCGCCGTCCTCGATAATCTCAAACCTCCCAGCCCATTTGAAGTTTTCCACAGCACCGGCGATGTCTGACTCGTCCAGTGTATGCTCTGGCGCTTTGATTTTTAGCCAGGCTCTAGTTAGCTCAAGAGCCAGAGAACAGTTCAAGCGCTGCACAGGAATACTGAGAGTCTTATCATTGACCGGAAGCGAGTCATTCGTCGATACAAATGTCAACGTGGTCTGTCTCTCAGCAGCGCGAAGGCGTAACACCTCGGCGGGATCTTCTTCCTGCGAGACTGAGAACGCAGGTGCGCCGGGCTTGAAAATCCCAGATTTGTGCCAAGCAACATTTTCAATCGTGGGGCCAAGCTGCGCAACATGATCCATACCAAGAGCGGTGATAGCTGTCACCGCCGGCTTCCGAATGACATTTGTAGCGTCATATTCTCCGCCGTGGTGCGTTTCAAATATAGCCGCATCAACATTCTCTCTGATGAAAGTGTGAAATGCTAGAAGCGCAAGAAGCTGAAGATAACGTGGCTGTCTCGCAGGAAGGACACTAGGTTCTGGACCAGGCGCCTCCAGCCTTTCCCATACTTCGAAGAAGTAACGAGTGAATAGCTCCTCCGGTATCGGCTGTTCGTTGATCTGAATCCTTTCGCGGATGCACTGCAAATCAGGCGAAGTATAAAGTCCAACTTTCCGAGGGAATCCGGTACGCAACCCATGTGTGCGAAGGAAGGAGCGAGTGAATGCACAGGTGCTGCCTTTCCCTTTGGTTCCGGCGACATGAACGATGTTGAGGCCGTTCACATCATTGTCCTAAAAACATTCATGTAAGAAGAAACCATTGTGGCGTGATGAGATGCTAGCAATGAACAATTCTTACCGAGTGCCCTAACTTCCGCAGCCAGTCTTCCATTCCAACCAAGCTAGGCACGCCCCGCAATGCTTGGTTGTCAGTCGGGGTCGCTGCATCTTGATGTGTCGGGACCAGCGCGGGCGCTCTTGGCCGAGCTTTTCGTCGGCGACTCTCCAGGAGTTTAAGAGCGTTCTAAAAATGCTTAGGAAGATTTGAATAGAGAAGTAGTCGGCGGGCCATACCTCGTAGCTGCGCTTCATATCGGCAGGGCCCTTGAAAAATGCCGGCTCTGGGGATGTTAAAATTAAGAGTCCGGCTCATTTGCCCCACGCATCTTATCTCACAGCCCATGTTGCCGACGCCGGTCTCTCGGCATCGGCATCTCGTTCCTGAGGCATCATGACACGTGACCCTAGCGGCGATGCCATCGAAACTCGATTCTACCTACTCTATTGCTCTCGCATCTTGTTAATAGAAATAATCAAATGATCAGCTTAAAGAGGCAGACCGTCAGACCGACATGTGAAGTTGAGTATAGCCCAGGCGCTACACCTCGGAAACAAGACAACCCAAGCGCCAAGTCTGTACCTGTTTGACTCATGATCATACGTTTTTATCGACTCTCATAGATAAACCAATCTCCATTCATAAAGATATAGAGCGATCGGGCAGACCAGTCTCGATATAAGCCGAAACTATGGGGCATTGTATACACCAAGACACACTGCCAGGCCGCGGGCTTGAATGAGACACTTCCACAAACGGCTAGATTAACCTTGCAGTGGAGTATCACGTGGCGGTGTGTCAAATGCTCCAGGATGAATTCCGAGACAGCTGATTCGAACCAGATAAGGACCTCTAGCGAATACTTCCGGTGCTTCATAATGCACAATGCGCATTGAAATGCCTCTTCTATAAAGTTTCTATATGTCTTACCTACCAATTACGGAGATTTCGTCCGCACAGGCTCTCCTGAGAGCAGGGGAACCGTTTGTTCCATTTTCCGAGTACACAGTCCGGGATATCGAGAGCTTGTCGGACGACCAGGCCTACGAGTGGCTGAATCGCAAATTGCATGAAGGAAAACCCTTCGTGATCCGCGGATTTAATACAACTAGCGAATGGGATAACTCGATCTTGAATAACGGAACCTTAGGCGCCTTGTCGGCCTCAAGAGGTATGTGGCGGCCGAGCAACTATTTCCTCGGGAAGTTCTGTAGCTTACAGGATGGTCTCAATACTCCAGCGATACCGGTTAGGAATTGCTCTACAGGGCGGGATATCAAGCTGCGACTGCAGGAGATCTTGTACCAGGCAGACTACCCAACTCCGAGTATTGGACGAGATTTGTATGTGGCCTATTATCGTCTCCAGGGCTAGCTTCATCAGCTCACAGACTCGCTTCGAAGCCTCTACGCCAAGGATCTACAATGCCCCAAAGATTGGATTCGTGCATTGGACTCTGTTTTGCCGCCGTCTCTAAGGCACTTGGGCACTCTTGATCTGTTTCGAGTACTACCGAAAGAAATTGCCCCAGAGGTTTTGATGGCATATGTCGGTACTCAAAATTCGTTGTAAGTTGGATGACAATATCTTCCCATGCTGCTCGATCAGTTTAACACATAGACTACGAATAGCTCTGGCTTTCACCGATGCTTCAGTGGGACAGCTGCGCTGAACCTCCTTATCGAATCCCAAGGTAATACTCACAACCCCGATCATCTCTATACACACAAGTTCTTAGCTCGCAACTAGGAAGCGGGCATGGGTCCATATGTTTTGGCACGGACAAACATGCACAAACCCAGTATGACGCTTTCATGGAAGAGCTAGGGAAATCACCTCATACGGACTGGGCGAACGTCACAGTTACCCAGCTAAGTCGTGCGAAATTTCCCATTTATGTCGCTGATCAGTTTCCTGGGGACTTGGTCGTCTTTCCTCCTGCCACTGCTCACCAGGTTTGGAATGTCAATTCCCTGGTTACGAAAGTGGTGTGGAACATAATGCACAGTTCTTCGCTCACCTATTTCTTTGACTATATCCAGCCTGTTTATCAACAATTGTGTCATGCAGATACAGGCCGGGTGCCTCTGGTTCTTCTGCATGCACTGAAAAGCGGGTCTTGCCGGCCCGAAGACGATGCTCTTCTTCTAAGTCTTTTTCAGCAGATAATCGAGGATGAAGACGTCGAGAATGAGACAAGTGTACGGTTGAAGCTTATAGACACTCAAGGTGCGGTGGTCGAATGCAACTTTTGCGGCCTGACGATCTGGAATCGTCATTTGCATTGCGAGCAGTGTGGAGATTTTGACCTATGTCTTAAGTGCTTCGTGTCTGGACGCAGCTGTAAACACTTCAGCAATTTCATCTGGGCTGAACTCCTTCCAAGGGACTACTGCAAAGATGTCATTAGCAGTGCGCGAAGCAAGTTAGGTGCACAGCAGACTTCAAGTCCCTCGCGTACTAAGTACGGACCCTCAAACGTTTTGGTTATTGCAGACAACATTCCGAAGAAACACTGCCTGCCTTCATTCCGGTCCTTCTCTTTGTCTTTTTCTATGCGACCTCTTACAGCCAACTAGCTTCCGTCTCAGTCAATTCACGACCAAGTTTGTTCTTAGCTAATGGTTGCTCTAGTCGAAAGTCTTTGGGAACATTGGCCGCAGCAGCAGCCACTGCACGAAAGCAGTCTACGGTAAATCAGCCTCCTGCAGACCTTACCAAGGTGTAACAAATGGTTGACAATCGGAATAGGAACGACTTTGCCATCTATGCCGTGATAGTCACTCGGTATGGAAAGGAATGACATGCTCACGATGCGATGCATTCTTCTGTTTTCGCGGGCTCCACAGACACTTCGATATCGATCTGATTCCCTATCTCAGAGATGCAGATTCTTGGACCTGCCCGAAGTGCTCACAGGTGTGCAACTGTCGGTGTTGCCACTTTTCACAGCCGTATCGAAGTAAGGACAAGCCTGTGCGAGCCCGGGTGAAGCCAGTCGACCAGCGAGGGCGCATTACTGGCTTCGTTGATAATGTATTTGACCAGAGGAGAGGCAAAAGAGCGGCCCAGAACGCATCCCCGCAGCCATGCAATGCTCTACAAAGTGGGAAACGACCGAGAACTCACTTCAATGAGGATACCATTAGACCAGGACAGCAGAGTGATGGTCCTCATGCTTCCCTCGACATTCGGACCTATGACTCGGGGGAAAATCAACAGACTAAGACCTTGACCCAAATAAGGGACAATCCAGCAGAGCAGACGGAGCTAGCCTCTGTGCGAGGCCAAGCCACAAAGGGTCAACTTCGTATTAGTGACCTCGTGGAAGACCGGAATCCAGCGCAACAGCTTCCGCGCGCATTGCCTGCACACCATTCCTCTATAGCGTCTACCCCACCAGAAGACAACACATACTCTTTCAGGGGCGATATCAGCATCGCCGCTCTCGAGAAAAAGCTGGACTCGCTACGCCAGTATGCAGAAGAGTTATTGGACCTATCGCTTGTTGATTCGCATGCGAAGCTCCTCGAAAAGGTCGCCGAGTTACAGAAACAGGTGGAAGAACAGAAGCGACGAAAGGCCGAGGTGCTTTTCAGCAACCTCCATCGAGACTTTCCTGATCTGGCTAATATCGCTCGAGAGGAGGCGCGACGACGAGGGTTCTAGAGACAACGCGCAGGTTCCGTGGTAGATATTGGGACGGACATGGCGAAAGAGGCGAAATGCACCATAGACTGGCGTCGGATTTGTCTCACTAACAGGTCTTTTGGCCCTTTAAAGTAAAAATGCAGAGAGTAAGTAATAACGGGATGGTCATTCAAGATACAGTTTCAGATATAGTCCACAAAAACGATAATCGCACTCTGTAGTTCTGTAGTATCGTAATCAAATAAACACAACTGCTTTGACGTGAGGTTGACATCAGGGAAGACGAACCAAAGGGGGGAGGCGGAAGTGATCCAAGGAAGCAGGCGGAGTTCCAGCCGGCGGTGATCCTCACCTCTCCACATTCATCCCTCCCTCTCTCCCTCCTCCTTCCCTCCCCTCAAAGGCCCTCCCTCTCCTCTTTCTTTTCCTTGCCTCTGACACACACTTCTTTCTCTCCATCCTCCCACCACTCAACCCCTCTCTCCTTTTTTTTTTTGTCCTGCTCCACACTCGCCGTTTGGTCAATAAGTCCAAATTTTTTTTTTTGGCTGGATACCTCTCTTTAATCGAGTTCGCCAACACTAAACCGGAGTCTTTCCCCAGGAATCAACCACACCTGGTATGTTTAGATGGTTCCTCCCACTCCCCAGCCCACTCATTCTTGATCGGCGTCAACACCCGTCAACCCCCCCTCCCCTCTTTCTCTTTTTCTCCCTCTCCCTCCTTCTGTGTCATCATACTGCACGGCTAATAACATATGCTTGTGTTTCGCATAGCGATAAAATCCCTAAGAAATTCGAACGCGATCGGTCTCTCCCTCACCTCAATCTTGCGCTAGCATTGAGCGACAACCTCGGGGCAGCCGTCCATCTCCGCGATCTATCTGTTTCGGTCATTCTATATCCCCGCCGGGGGCTGGCGGTAGCAGGCACACACACCGAACTCACTACTTCAGTCCTGACCGCCTCCACAACACACGACCAGCTCACCTTCGCACAATCACACGCGCGCCCTCACCCCTCACCACTTTCCTTTCTCCCACCTCCTCCTTTTCTCTTTCATTCAGCCTAGTTTGGCCTTGTTCTTCCACGACTCTCTCTCAATTCCTGTGTTTACTGCTATCTTTTTATCCCGCCATGCCCTGCTTCAAGGGTCTCGCCGTGAGTATACACACTCCAGATGGCCCGATCTCCGAATACTCGATCCAACGTCAATCTCGAGCCTCTCGCATAGCTTGCTACATTCCGGTACCGCCTCCAAAGATACCTGACTCCGGATCGGGCCGACCAGAACAGTCGACTTTCGCCATCTCTATCACACTCCTGAACCCCGGTCAAGATGTCCCGTATTCTGCTCCGAAAGCGACACCCGACAACCCCGCACCCAGGCCTAAAGTTGTTGGAGGACTTCCCGGCCCGACCGAAGAGCGGGGGCAATACTCTAGTATGGTGATTCCCTACAAGCCGTTGACCAATTCGCCGAACGAGACGGTCGCTGCGTACATCTACTTCGACGGCCGACAGAAGGAGGAGGTGGCTACGCTCCTGCGGAGAGGCGAGGAGACTTGGGTCAACTCTAGATGGGTCAGTGTTCCGGACTCCGAGGGCGGCGGTCTGGCCGAACGGGAGTTCCTTTTCCGTGAGGTCGGACTGGAGAGATGGTTAAATGGTCTAGACCTGGAAGGAAAAGATGCGGCGGCCAAGATTGAGCGACGACGACAGAAGATGGAAAAGCGTCGCTTGAAACGCGAAGAAAGCGGCGGTATGGACACGGATGCGAAGTCACGGAAGGAGAGAGACATAATGCGCTACGGAAATGATTCGAAATCTCCGTTGGAAGATGTCTCTGATGAAGATATGTCGTTCTCCGATTCTGATGATGACCCGATCCCCGAGTCTGCAGGGCAGATCAAGGTGGCACTATTTCGTGTTCTGGCTTCTGGCGAGGTCAAACGGGGAGAGTACTCGCCTCAATTCGATGCGCACGATGACGACGACGATGTCTCAGGCGGCAATGACAACCACAACGGCGCATCGGACGCCAACGTTGACCACACCACGAGCTTTGCTAAGCCGAAAACACTCGATCCCAAAACGATCAGCACGCAAACTGTGACGAGCATTGATGCGTCTGATAAACCCTACGCTACCTTCACGTTCATGTACCGCGGAGAGCGTAAGTCATGACCCGGCTCATATATCAGCTGTCGAAACTGACTTTTATCTAGGGCAACTTCAGAAGATGGGGATCCTCAAGGATGCCAAAGTGCAGGACACCCCTGGGTCTGTAAAGCGTCGGTCGATACAACCAGATTTTTCCAATCTTGGCCCGCTCAAGCCTGGCGGCACCGTTGGCTTCCTGAAATTCCGAGAGAGCACAGAAAACCATAAGAGAGGAAAGAAGGGTGGCAAGCCTGTTGGCGATGATGACATGGATAGTGATGACGATGACGAGAATTCCATCCTTGGTAAAGCAGACGCTGAAGAGGGCAAGGATGATGATGTCCATCTTTCTCCGGAAGATCTTAGGCAGCAGGGCGAATTGGCGGAGAGCATTCGTAAGATTAAGGTGAGTCAATCCTGCTTCGTGCTTCATTTCTGCTTGCCTGACTTACTGTCATTTCAGCTCAAACGGCAGCACTCGTCCGCCTCGCTTGCCACTAACACTCCTCCGACGGACACTGGAAGTCCTCGGGCGCCCGGAGAATCAGCTCCATCTTCTAATCTTTCCACAACACCTCCGATTGTACCTCCGTCAACTGTCGCTGCTGAAGCTCCCAAGCCAGCGGCTAATGCGACTGATGGTCAATTCATCGGTAGCCCCCTGAAGAAACAGCGAGCTAGCGTATCACAAGCGGATGAAGATGTGATGCGCCGACGAATGGAGTCAGGTTTGTCGCACGAGATCAGTAATGATGATGCTTCAAACACCACTGGGACTACAGCGGCTAGTACGGGTGTAAAACCCCCACCGCATGATTCCATGGCTACCGAGGAAGAAGAGCTATAAGCTCGCGATCTTCCAGGGTCCATTCCCATGTTTACGTGCTTAGATGGTCGACATCGCACCGATCAGACGGAGGAAGGTGTTTGCAATCTTTATTTTCCTATACTTACTTGAGGGATGGCTTGTCATCCTTATCATTTTTGGGTAGCCCTCGCTTATCCCGCATCGAAGGGATTGGACAGGAATACAGCTGGTCGTGATAGAACATGACCGTTGACGGCTGCTTTCGCTTTTAGTATCCGCTAGTTGAGGTATCTTCATGGCGAATGGGCTGGGATGGGCGGTACAATTGCTAGAATGGAGCATGAGGTACGTGCTGAGTGGAGGTAATTGTTATAGACGGAATGAGTTACGCAAGTTGCACGCTGAAAACCTCCTTTTTGCTGGAGGCGAGATTTTGAATAATTGAGTTCACTGTCAATAAGGGCTCGTAGGGTTCGGAATATGGCAAAATTCAAGAACACTTCTGAATGATAGACACCCTGACTCACCCCTCATTATCTCCCAAAAGTAGCGATAATTCCGACCTCGTCGAGACCATGCCAGCCTTCCATCCTCTCGAACCTCACACGCTACATTAGCCACTGTTTGCTGCGACTCGGTCACCACGCGGTGGGCCATCTGCAACGGCCGCGGTGGAGTTGTCGTATGATCCCTCAACAGGATCCAGGCGTCATGAACTCCTAATACATTGTGTCCTTGTCTTTCCGGCAGTGCACACAGCTTGAGCCTCTTGCCAGTATGTCAAGTTTATCTCAGAGATTGGTGATGTTTGATGATATCACCACCTTTAAGTTAACTGCAACGTTGCCTCTTGGCTAGATGGCCCCTATCGCGTCTCGTAGGCTCTTCAACCCCCGCCCACCAGCGCCTCTGGCTTGCCCTCCATGCTAGCTGCGGAGGTGGAACCCCCATGGCACATTGCACGATCGCTTTCATGATCACAATCATTCCACTCCTCCTGAGTGCACTGCGCAGCATCCGAACATCTCGCTTCCTGATGCGAATGAACATAGAACGGTGAAGTCGATAGTCCTTGATACTCCAAAGAACCTCGATATAGTCAGAGGTACTAGGGGCCTCCTCTACCAGCTTCCCCATTCGCAGAGGCTCCGTCGGTTGGCCAACTATGAAGGGCGAAAGATCTTCCCCACCACCATCATCGTCATCGTCATCGACATCATCATCAGCAGCAGCAGCAGCAGCAGGAGTAGGAACATCAGTAGCATCGGCATCAGCCTCATCAGCATCAGCATCATCAGCATCAGCATCATCAGCATCAGCATCATCAGCATCATCCTCGTCTTCATCCTCATCATCGAACTCGGTATAAGATACACCATCGATCCATTCCCCGCCTCGGTTTTGCTTTATGTCGAAAGAAAATAACTCCCGGATCGGAGGCTGCTGCACGAGCATGCGCCGCCAGCTGGCTTCTTTCCGGATGAAAGAGGCCTTCTGCTCGGGTTGCGTCAAATCCCAGCGGGGGTTGATACCGTCGCGCCCGATCTTCTCCCGGTATTCACCATGGGCAATTTGGCCAGCGATGAACCAGCCCGGGAAGATATGGACCAAGAGCGGGTTGCGCTCTGGTTGCGGTCGATTCCAGTCCGGGGTCAAGAAGAGGTGTTTTTGCAGGGCAGGCGTGGAGATGAGGTCGTGCCATGCGTGACAGACGCGCTGGGCGGATGTCAGGAGGGACTGGATATCCACCTGAAGAAGAATGTTCTCGAGGATCTCGACGGGTGTGAGGGCTTTGGTCTGCGCGGATGTCATGGTTGGTTGCAAAGCATAGCCCCGCGTGCACTTGCTGATATAAGTAAATCTCCCTCAGATGGGAGATCGACAGGCCCAGCTATAAGGCTAAGTAAGGTAACGTGTAGTCATGTGACGAGTTAAGAAGATTTTGGTAACTCAAGAAAGCTAGTACTCAAGGCGGCTACTGTCTTACTTTCATTGGTATCGCCGCAAAGAACGACAGTACCAAAAAGAGACAGGCGTTGTTGCTACCTAAGTTTGAAGAGACGGTAGGTAAAGCATGCCATGTGAGATATACTACTACCTACCGGCGAATGGTGGTATTGCAAATTGCCACGAGTAAACCACACCCCATCTTAGTTCTTTTCTCCCAGCTTGGAACAGATACGTTAGCACCCAAGGCTCCCAACCTCAAGCACCGCTCTTGGCCACAACACGCATAGGGCTATGTATAATAGGGCCGTGCATGGTGACAACTGCGCTGCGGGCGAGTGGTAGGCTAGAATGGATACAACCAATGTCATTTGTTCGAGATTAAGTACTGCCATCTGTGAATAACCACATCTCTTACTTCATTCACTTCGTATAAGATATGGCGGCGTATCCTGTCCTCCCATCTAAAGTATAGTTGACGCCATTGTTCAACCTCATGTCCACTGTTTCTTTCGTGTGAAAAAAAAGAGGGCCCAAAAAGAATGGACTTGGGGGGAATCGAACCCCTGACCTCTCGCATGCGAAGCGAGCGCTCTACCACTGAGCTACAAGCCCATGTGACCATGACTCATCAAACCATCCTAGCAATATATACAGGTTAAAACAAGCCAAATCCTTGCTTTTGTGCCCTGGAGCCGGCTTTTTTTTGACATCTCCAGCCAATATCGCCAGGACCAGCGATCTCGACGTCTTGTCAAATTGCTCACAGCATCGAAAGAACAATGCTTGAATCGACTGTCCAAATTTCCATAGTACCCACTATGTGGGGCCCCGGCAGTACGAAGTGGAATATCAAGGGTCGGGCCGACAATCTCAGGAGCCCAGCGGCCAGCCTCGCCGTGTGGGGAACCATGCCCCCGATTTGTCTGTCGGCTCCACTCAGCCACGCGCTATACGAATCTGTAAGCACTAATCGGATTAGTTACTCACTACGGAGACAAAGTAAATCTTTGTGATTCTCCTTCTTTCAACCACCCACCCCTCAAATCGCAACCATGGGAATCCTTAATTTCTTTGGCAAAACCAAGCCCCCTCGGCCTGCACCAACACCGACCGATACCATCGTCCCTCTCGGTTTCTGGGATGGCCGACCATATCAACACAGTATCTGTATGGACGTCGCTTATCGATTCGACGACGTGCTTGATGTGAAGACGCTCGATCGGTCTCTGACGCGACTACTGCAGCTGGGAGACTGGCACAAGTTAGGAGCACGATTGCGACGAAATGTATGTTTTATCCCGCTCCAAAAAGATTCATCTGCGCTGAACCCCCCCCCCCCCTCCAGGATGCCGGGCAGCTTGAGTACCATATCCCGCGGGAATACACCGCTCAGCGACCAGGTTTCATTCTCACCTCCGAGAAATATCTGATGAAAGCTACCGAACATCCTCTGGCATCGAAACTCCCCACGGCAACAGATACGCCCCGTGTGCTCGGCACAGTCGATGAGACCATTCCCCTTTGTCGCCATGCACAGGCGCCGCAATGTCTGGATGATTACATCTACACGGACCGGCCCCAGCTCACGATCCATGCTGCTGCATTCACTGACACAACCATCTTAACGATAACCTTCCTGCATACCCTCATGGATGGGATGGGTATGTCCAGCTTCTTCGCAGCTTGGGCATCTGTGCTCCGCGGCCAAGAGGACCAAGTGCCGACTTTTCTCGGATTCGACACGACTCCAATGCACACTTTGAACAGCACGACCTCTGTAGAGCCGTTTGTGCATCAGGGCCTCTTGCTCAAAGGGTTCCACATGATTCTCGTTGCCATGCACTTTCTGTGGGAGTATTTCTGGCGGGGTCCGGAAGAGCAGCGTATTCTGTGCATCCCCGGAGCCTTTGTCGACGGAATGCGAAGCCAGGCGATCCAGGAACTCACCACCACCACCACCACCACCGGAGGAAAAGCCAATTCCCCAGCTCCATTCCTTAGCGAAAGCGATGTTCTCCTAGCGTGGTGGACCAAAGTGACAATCAGAGCGCTGAACCCGGCCTCGAATCGCTTGCTCGCGCTGATGAACATCTTCGACTTTCGCTCGCTTGTCCTGCCCCCGGACCTGGCCGATCCCTCGCAAAATGTCGCCGTCATCGGCAACGTCACCTTTCCGGCCTACACCCTCCTTCGGGTCCGCGACATCCTCGCCATGCCGGTCAGCCAGCTGGCCGCCCACATCCGCCACTCACTGGTCCAGCAGCGCACCAAGCCGCAGGTGGAAGCCCTGGCGGCGTTGATCCGAGAGACTCTGGAGACGAAAGGGGTCGATGCGACGCTCTTCGGCGAATACGACACGCTCCTTATGGCGTGGTCGAACTGGCACAAGGGCCGGCTCTTCGAGATTGACTTCTCGGCGGCAGTCACCTCGGTTGGTGCGTCGACGGCAGAAGGGGAGCGGCGACGCGCGAACCCAGTGGGACGCCCTTCCTATATCATTGCGAATGCATGTGTGAACAGCCCCATGCCGACGAACCTTGGGCCGATGATGGGTAAGGACGCGGCGGGGAATTGGTGGTTGACGTGGAAACTGCCCCACTGGGCATGGTCTGCGGTAGAAGAACAGGTGCATGGGGTGGGGGAGTCAAAGCTAGCATGATCAAAGTCTGTAAAGGGGCTATAGTTGAGGTGAGAGGCAGGGGTTGGTGATTGAATCTTGCGAAGCAATTTAAGCTAGCTGGAAGCGAATCTAGGTTATAGTGCTGAGCTACGGGCTTTGAGAATCTATGGGATGATCAGTCTTGCGTTCATGGATGGATTAAGATCAGGGTTCTCTGAAATCAGCACGCTACCTGGCCAATCTTATGACACCATCTCACTTGATACTTTGCCCCGAGCCTGAAATCCGTGACGAACTGGAGTCTTCAGCTGCTGACGGAGGTCCGGAAGCTCCGTTGCCTGGGCCCCTCACCGGCCGCTCCGCTGGTTCATAGTTATTTCCTCGGATAGGCTCCCGACAATCAGAATCATCCGTTCTACAGTATCTGCAATCCTCTGGTACATGAGTGCACGCACAACGTACAAGCCAGACAGCATTCCGATAAACCACAGAGGATGGTGTCTCACGATCGAAGGTGGATTCGCATTCCCACCTCAGATCGTCACTCGTACCAAGACAAAGGACTAATGGCATCAAGGCCTTTCTTCTCTAAACATTTCTCAAAGCTTTAAGACTGGTGTGCCAATGCTCCATCATACAGACGATAAACCAAGGCCTTCTCGGGGTTCAACTGGCTCTTGCACAGCGACTCCCAGCCTCCCTCAAGGCCCTCTGCACCAACGACCCCGTTGCCCCAGACCAGACGCAGATCAGGGGCAGCAGATTCGCGATTGACCAGCCAATGATTCCAGCGCTCATCCACTTCGTCAAAGAATTTCTTGTGATCTACAACACCGAGAGCAGCTTCCATGATTGATGAAGTGTTGAGCTGAACGATGCCCAATTGAGCAGCGACATTCCCAAGGGCAACAAGCTCGTCAATCGTGTGAACCTTTCATTTCCCGTCATGTTAGCCTTCTGCTCCGGACGATCAATCGAGAAGTGCACAAACGATATGTCCCTACCTTCTGCTGGAGTCCCACGCCAATGAAAACAAGCCTAGCAGCCTTCAGGACCGGATTATTCCGGATCAGGCCCAACACCTGCTCGACTCCGCCATCCCGACTGCCGAAATTGACCAGCACGATCTTAGACGCCTGCCTGCCTGCCAGCCACTCCTCCGTCGCCGCCGCGGCGATGTCGGCGTAGGCCACAGTCTTGGTGGGGAACGGCGGCGCGAGCTTCGTCGCGGCGTCCGCGATCGCCGCCGGCGCCGAGGTGACCTGCAGGAAGCCCCGGGGACCCGTCCCGGCGGGCCTGCAGGCGAGATTATGCGCGAGTGCGCGGCCGGTCTTCGTTGACGCGCCTAGGCTGATGACGACGGCGTGGGAGAGGTCCGCGTCGTCGGCGGTCCACCGCTTTGCCTCCTCCTCCTCCTCCTCCTCCTTCTCCTCCTTCTCCGGGGACGGGGACGGGTGCAGCGGCGGATGCGTCGCGGGGTCGGGGGTGAAGACGTACTCGCTGAGGAGATAGCCGCAGGTCCAGATCGTGCGCACGGCGCAGTCCCAGCCCCGCGTCTCCAGGCTTTTGAATCGCATATCGACCACGGCAGTGTACTGGTTGTACAGCCAGAACAGACCCCGCCGGTGCGGGGACACTTCCGTCCAGTGGCCGTGCGGCTCCCCGGGCGTCAGGTGGAGGTCCACCGCGTGGCCGGACGCCGGCCAGTATCCGAAGATCGATGTCCCGGACGGCAGGTCGGGGACGGTGCTTTCGAGGACGGTGGCGTAGCCCCATGCCGGCACGATCCCCCAGCCGGCCGGGTCGTGGTAGGGCGCCGGCGCGGTCGGGGGAACGGGGTACGTGTCCCACCACTTCCAGGCGGTGCCGAGCATCGCGTAGGTCAGGTTGTTGGAGGTCAGGCCGATGAGCGAGGCGCGGACCCGGATTGATGAGGGCGCGACGAGTGGCTCGGTCGGTGAGGGGAGCTGGAAGGTCGCGTGCTGGGCGGGGTTTTGCTTGGAGACAACGTGGACGTCCATGGTGATTGATCTCTTCGGGGAATTGAGTTGTTGCGGTGCTTGGGAACAGAATAGATGTGGGGGTAATGGGGAGTTATATATCCTAGAGGCTGTGTAGCCTTGCTGATGGGGCGGCTGAAGTATGTGGAGTGGTATAGTTTAGTTTGGTTAGTGCTTATGGTCAGTGCTTGTTGAAGAATCATCATTTGTTGTTTTGTCTACCACTCGGAATCATTTGGGTGGTCCACGCAAGGCCGAAGACATCGGCATGAGTCCTTTTCTTCTGGGATCAGGCATTCTCTCCCCATCATAATTCCGTAGTAGAGTACCGGTGGATACTACTGGTATTCATACTGTAGCCTTTCCATCAAGGTTGTCCTGTCCTCCACCCCTGCTTGGCTGTCCGACCACAACAGGATCCACTCTGTTCTTTATCTATCATGTCTCATCCTCAACACCTCTAACTCTATGCTAATGACCAACAAGACCCAGCACAACAGACCCCCAAAGACCAAGAATCACCGCTGCGGCGCATCCAACGTAAAATACACACTCAAACATTCAGCCGAAGCACGGGTGCCCATCTCCCCAAAGACCGAGACACTCACCACCTTCCGCCGTCCCAATTGCTCCTGATGCTGTGCGAGGAACCAGCCGGTGGCGCTACCATTCGGGGTTCCCAGAATCGCCAACCCTTCTGCACTAGTACTACTACCACTGCTACTGCTACCGTCCTCCACGGGAAACGTCACCACGCCATCCCACCCCTCCAGCGGCGTGCCCGCCCTCGCCAGCGCCCGCCGGATCACCCGTTTGGAGACCGGGTTGCTGACCCCGGCGTGGAAGATATAGCGGATGGAATCGACGCGCACGCCCGCTTGCTCGGCGAGTCGCGTCCACATCAGAAAGGTGACATCGGACCACTGCTTGAGCGGGATAGGCCACGGCGGGGGCGGGCGCGGACTGAAGACCACCCCCGCGGCGTCCTGGGGCTCACCGGTTGCTCCGCTGCTCAACGCCATCGGACTCATCAGGTTGTCGGCGATGATGATGCCGCTGGCTGTGTTGTAGTGGTTGCCGTACCATGCTCCGGTGGCCTAGAATGCATCGAACCGGACGTAGGGTCAGCGGTCATGGCCTTTTTCATGTGATAGATTGGTGAGAGACACGCGGGCAGCCTTACAGGATACATCCTCTCACCCACAACGGTGGGTTCGGTGTTGGACATGCACACAAACACGTTATCCTCGATCCGGGCATGGAGGTCCCGCGCGAACAGCCGCGCAAATGCCTCCTCGTCGTACATACACTGGGCATACTCTGGCGCCCAGTTCCAGTGCTCCAGGGCACGGGGGTCGGTCCAGGGGCTGGTGGCTGGGATGTGTTGATGCGGCGAGATGGTGTCGAGGTAGGCTTGGAGCTCGGCGGTGGTGGGCAGGGAGAACATGTGCACGAACGCCCGGCCTTTGGCTGCCGCGGTGTTCCAGGTGGTCTCTTCGCTGTCGATTTCGTGCTCGAGGGCGAGGATTGGTCGGATTGGACGGGGAGTTGGGTGGTGGTGGTGATGATGATGATGATGTTGGAGGTATGAATAGATGTTCGGGAGGGAGAGTCCGTATAAGGAGAGGAGGGCCTTGAGCTGGGCTTCGTAGTGGGATAGATAGCTCGACATGACAAAGAATAATATACTGTGTATGATGGTGGTGAAGGAGTGAGTGGGTGTATGTGGGTTTGAACATGGTTTTGCCATCGGTGGGAAGGTATTTCATCTTCGAGGAAAGCATTGGGGCAGGCACAGCCCAACTGTAAGGCAGGTAGGAGAAAACACCGCTGAAGACAAGCACGGCTGAGATTGTGACGATAGGAAACTGAAGTTATCCGTATTGGAGAAGCACGTGTTTGTTAGCTCTGTGTCAGTGAGTCAAGTGACGCTTGAAGTGTATTGTATGCTCTATTGCGTGGCTGACTGGACTGTCTACTGCTAGTTACGGTACTTGAGCATATAGTATAAGTCACGGTCCAGCGACCCGGACCACCTCCACTCAGCACCACTCAGCACGGGGACACATCTACACATCTGGATAACACTGATACCTCCCATCATTCCGGTCCCACCCCACCCCTTGATGCACCGTGAACATGTTCTCTGGATCTACCTCTTTCTTGATGCGAAGAAGACGCTCATAGTTCGCCTTGCCCCAGAACGCACTGACGGGGTCCGGCTCAAACGGGTCAGCTTCGTTCTGGTAAGCACCGGAATCGGGTGTGAACTGCCGCAGGGGATCCATGGCGTGGGAAACACTCTGCCAGACCTGCCGGATGAGCTCTGGATCCCTCGTGTTGCTGGCTATGGCGCGTGTGTGCATGAGATGCCAGAGTCCGCTGCGCCACGCCGGCGTTACCGATGACGCCCCGGGTCCAGAAGACTCATCTTCCCTCGGCAGACTCTGGGAATACAGCGCCGGAGCGACAAGGAGAATCTCGACCCGGGGTGAGGGGGGTGTTTGCAGAGTGTCGTTCAACCTCAGCAGTTGGGTAATCAGCTCAGCCAGCTGAGCCTGGCTCGTTGTGTTCTGGAACGACGTTCGTGGAATGATCCGCGACGAGACGGCGGCGGAGACCTCCGACATCTGCAGGAGTGGGCTCGAGGTGATGGGCCCCATGAAGTCGAGGAACCCGGCCACCGAGGAGAGGGTGGCGATCGAGTTGTTGAACTGGCGGGCGAAGTCGAGCACTGGCTGCACGGACGCCATCGCGGCCGTGTGGTTCAGTAGAGCCGTGGCTATCACCAAGGTGTAGTCTGCTAGGCCGGGAATCGCGAATCCACCCCATCCCTCTGCAGCCCATCCTTCAGCATTCGCAATGATCAAGCCCGTCAGATCCTTTGCGGCGGAAGAGGAGGGATTCAACCCGGTCAGGGAAACATTCAAGACTTCCATCGGTCGATCCGGATGGACGAGGATGCTCATCTCCATCACAACGCCAAAGGTCCCGCCGCCGCCGCCGCGCAGCGCGAAGAACAGATCCGGATTCTGACATCGACTCGCAGTGGCAAATGTCCCGTTGGCCAGTACGACCTGGATTTCTTGCACATTGTCGACCCCAAGACCTGGCTCACTGTTAATCCTCACGCGCGCAACAGGAACGCAGATAGACGTCCCAGGGGTTCCACTCACCAAGCTCATTCGCCATAAGCCCATGTCCACCACCAGTGATCCATCCCCCTGCGGCCCCAACAGTATCGCACCCGCCTCCCACAACCCGATACCCCCGTGCATGCACAAAGTCATAGATGCCTTTGAACTGTTGTCCCGCCCCGAATCTAATCACATCTCCCGCCGGGGCCGAGCAGCCTTCGGGAGTGAAATTCTTGAGGAGCTGGATTGGAGGTTGGTACGGATGCGTCCTACAGACTAGTCAACCTTGCCTGGTCTCAGTGACAGCAGAGCAGAGGAGGACACCCACCACAGCGCAAGAGAATCCGGCGCGGAGCTCCGGCCCTTGTAATCATGACCGGTGTTCTTGATGACGAGTCGGAGTCCGTGGGATCTGGTGAAGTAGAGAGTGGCTTGGACGTCCTCTACACTTCGCACATCCACGTATCGCGGGGAGATACTGCCTTGCTCACACGAAATATTGGGTGATAGAGGCGAAGGGATGGGGCACGATGCGCCGGTGGCTTGGCAGGTCGACCAGACGAACTATTCTCACATCACCCCTTAGCAAAGCAACTACAAATCATGCGTCGAATGGGTGGTTGTGGTGACTGACGTTGTGATACCAAGGAAACTCGTTCGACGCCAGAGTCGAGTTGAGGAGAAGCTCTTGCTCCGCGGTGCACTGAGCTGCATGGAGTGGTTTGGTTGGATCGTGACTGGACGGGTAGCACGGGCTCAGCATCGGGGTGCCTTCGTGGAGCCGTCCGGCGACTGTCGCGTTAAAGGCGTTCCAGGTTGCTGTACTGATACTCGATAGTGAAGCCCATGTCTGCGGATTCGATGGCTGGGCCCCATTGGCGAGTAATGGAACGGCAAGAAGGAGAGAAATGAAGCCTTGCCTCGCCATGCTTGGTTATACACGCCAGCTACTTTACAAGCCGAATTAGTAGCTTGCTGTTTCCCTGTTTACTCATGCTGGAAAAGTGAGAACGCATACACGGGACATCAAGTTTCTTATATATTCTCGTCTAGTATAGAACACAGTTGGACCCTTACATGAGACGTAAACCCAAATTCGTTTGATGACTTTGCGTGTGGACATCTTCACTCGAGTACCCAAAGCAGCAAGCAACTCCAATAAAGATGACGTCGCAGTGCATAGGAAGGGTCAGCTGAGACTTATGTAGCAGGAACGTACATATGATAGGGAGAGCTTGATAGCCACAAACAGCTGATGTCAGGAAAAAGCATAGTGTATTTGGCGGAAGTCAGCTTGGACCCCCAACTAATGAGACCGCGACAACAGGCCATTCAATGCAGAAGGTGACAAGCATAGCATTGTTTTCAAATGCATACTTCCTGCGCGCGTTGCTCTGCCAGCTGTCATCCTGACTGTGTTGGTCTGCTATGCCAGACCGAACGACTGGGTTGCCGCGTCCTTGGGCTTCGCCAGCTCAGACGATAGCTCTTGCACTCAATAAATAAAGTCAGAAGCCCCGCTATCCTGGACTCAATCCTCAATTTTTAGTGTTCTGAGAATTCAGAGATGGCAACGAGCCTGTCCCTCGCCGGTGGAGTGGGTCTGGTCTCTTCAGCGGATTGATGCAGCCTCTCAGGCTCTGGCAATAGTGCACAGCGCCTAGCTCGTAATTGAGGAACAAGTTGGCGCGCAGCCACGGCCGGAATATGTTAGCCAGCAAGCTGAGTACAGTCCATAGCGAAAACCTGATCTAGGCTGGGACGTATACGACACGGCTCTTCTCGAGGCGGTGCTATAGTCAGTGTCACTGGAAGCAGCAGCGTCAGGCTGGCTCGAGTGTTGGCCGCCTTTCGACTCGTATTTGCTGACTCGTACTGCGACTCAAGAGTCTTTGGCTGTAATGTGCATCCAGGGCGAAACTTCATAATCAGGTTTCTTCATCTCTTCCTGGAGCAGACCTGCCCACCCCGGATGATCCAGCACGACACCGAGATACTCAGGAGCCCCATCCTGATCAACGATAGTCAAGTGCGCAAGAAGTACTTATCGAGTTCCATGCGCCACAACCCGGGAAAAGTGATCCTGAAGCCGAGATTAAGGTCGACTTTGTATTTGTGTCCGTGCACGACTCATTCCCCATATATTGCCTGGATATCCGACTTTGAGGGGGCGCGGTTTCCTGGTGTTGAGAACTCGTCGCCTACGTTGATGGTATGTGCGATTCAAGTACTCAGGGTCAACAGCAGTAGCTGAGACCTGCACAGCTGTGTAGATGTGATGGGCAGAGACGTGGCAATGACATTTCGTATTGCGAAGGATATGGCATGTATCGCGTCGAGGGCCTTCCGTGTCGAGGGCCTGCCGTGTATCTGAATCGCCCTTTTGCAATGGGACAGTGCTACATCTTATGGTATATCAGGCTCCCTGTCAAATATCAAGTCGAGCCCGGTTGCTGTGATGAGCGAGGACAGAGAGAGTCACTTCTGAATACGAATTATCGCATCGGGAACAAAGCATTAACATCTACGCGCACTAGCCCGGAAGGACTGAAAATGTCAGGTGCTCCTTGAGGGTAGGTCGGGGTGAAAGAATGGAAGAAGTTCTGCATCCCGACTCGGGGGTCTCATAGAAACTACGTCATAACGTCATACTTTCCGTTTCGCTCCTCCGAGTGCTTCTCTTCTTTGACTTGAATGAGTTCATTTCAGCTCCCTAATCCTGATTGTCGCATGAATCTTACCCTCCAATCCAATCTTTGAGCAACGACCTTCCACAATTTAATTTTACCCCCAGAAAATTTCATCACAAACTTCGTGCAATGGCTTCACCAGGCTTGAACTTCCGCTGCGCGCTCGTCACGGGCGGCGGCGGCGGCATCGGAAAAGCGCTCTCCTCCTACCTCATCTCGCAGGGCAAGAAAGTCATTATCGCCGGCCGAACCGAGTCGAAGCTTCAGGGGTCCGCTCGCGAGATCGGAGCGGCAGCCTACTACGTACTAGACACGGGTCTCGTCGACACGTTTCCCTCGTTCATCGCCAGGATCACCTCCGAGCACCCGGACCTGGACTGCTTGGTCAATAATGCGGGGGTGCAGCGGCCGCTGAAGCTCGTGGACGAGGAACCGGAAGACATTCTCGCGCGAGCAGATCAAGAGATCGATATCAACATCCGTGGTCCCATGCATCTCACGCTGGGGTTGCTCAAGCATTTCAGGAACAAGCCTGACGATGCTCTGATCATCAATGTCTCGTCCGTGCTCGGGTTCGTGCCCTTTGCGGTGATCAATCCCGTCTATTGCGGCACGAAGGCATGGCTGCATTTCTGGAGCATGAATCTTCGGACGCAGCTGTCTAAAGGGGGGTCTGAGAAGGTGCGTGTAGTGGAAATCGTGCCTCCCTCGGTAGCAACGGACCTGCACCGCGAACGGGATGACCCGGATGACAACAAGAAGGACAAGAATCCCAGTGTTCTGTCGGTGGAAGAGTTCATGGAGGAAGTGAGTGTGAAGTTGGAGCGTGGCGACGAGGTAATCGCACCGGGCATGAGTGACGATATCGTCCGGCGGTGGTATGAGCAGTACGAAGACTTCTACAATGAGAAGACGGCTTGAAGAATAGAGTGATCCACGGTCGGAGGCGTCTTCAGGGACGAATCTCTTGTTAACTAGGTGCAAACAGCCATTGCGAAGAGGACCTTCAGGGATATAATCAACAACAAATGACAAGACATTTCAAATAGTCTCGATTTGCGAGTTCGCCCCTGCTAGAGAAATGGCGAGATAATTTCCTCTGGCGCCCATACCTCGTCTGATGATGATTCAGATATCCTGCCCAGTTCTTCACAAGAAAGGGCACAGTTGTACAATAGTCACATGTGGAAGAGACAGGTCACACAGCACACGCGATGCTGAAATTTCTGTTGACAAATAACGCATTCACCGGGAATTTATGGATTCTTGTGCAGACCACCAGTTTCTATCAGGTGCACAGGGAGCAGCTGGCCATCCGAATCGCGCTCGGAGTTCCTTTAGTAGAGACGCAAGCCCGGCAGCTCAGAAAGCTTCTCCTTGCCAGGAGGTCGGGAGGCATAATGTGCTACTGCACTAAGGCTGCGTTGATTGTGAGGATTCGGCACAGGAATTGATCATTTGCTTCATTTCGCGTCAACTGAGGCTAGGCATTGTAGCAAGACGCGACTGTGTCCCCTGTAATTAGTGAGTTAGCCACGGAGAAAGAATGTATGCTGGGACAATTGGAGAAGTCAATTGCGGCAAGTCGGCCGACCTCGCCGCCTTCCGCCGCCGGGAGTAATGAATTGAGGCAGTTCCGGCGGCCCACTTGCTGCTGCTGCTGCTGCTGTCTGCCATGGCCTTTCTACGAACGCTTCATTCCATTTCACTACACACTCAGAGGCAGTTCTACCAAAAGTCTCTATTCCCTGCTCAAGCGCTTCGAGCCCGAAACCACACCATGCCCTTGACACGCTCCACCGATCCCCTGGTGTGGATCGACTGCGAGGTTCGGGAACTTTTCTTTTGCAGCCTGTCCTTGCATCTTAAAAAGCAACGAGCCTCATCCGCTGACGCCCCTGTTCTTCTCGATGGATGATTTCTAGATGACCGGCCTGGACCCGGAAACCGATCACATCCTCCAGATCTGCTGCTACATCACCGACGCCGACCTGAAGCTCCTGGAGCCGCAGGGATTCGAGACCGTCGTCCACCAGCCGCCCGCCACGCTGGCGTCCATGAACGAGTGGTGTATCGAAACCCACGGTCGCACCGGGCTGACGGCCGCGGTGCAGGCTTCGACCGTCAGTGCGGAGTCGGCCGCCGCGGCGTTGTTGGCGTACATTCAACGGTATGTGCCGCAGCCGCGGACGGGGCTGCTGGCGGGCAACAGCGTGCATGCGGACAAGGCGTTTCTGGCCAAGGGCCCGTACCGGAGCGTGTTGGAGTGGTTACACTATCGGATTGTCGATGTGAGCGCCCTGAAGGAAATGGCGCGGCGGTGGGGGTCGGACGAGTTGTTGGCGGCGGTGCCGGCGAAGAAGGAGGTGCATCTGGCTCGGGAGGACATTCTGGAAAGCATCGCGGAGATGCGCTTCTATCGGGACCGGCTGTTTAGATAGCTTCTGGTAGCTTAGTAGCTCGACTACTAGTACTATGAGTAGACAGACAAGCTACTAGTAAAAGGGGGAGGTCTGTGGGTTTGGACCGGCGGGGAATGGGCTGAGCTGGCAACAATAATCGCTCGCTTCTATTTAGGGAAGCTTTTTTAGGGGGTCAAGAATCATCGAGTAATTTGTACGGGCGTTTGTACGGAGGAGGGGTAAAAAATGAGGGGAAGGGAAGAAATTCTCAAGGTCCAATAAGTGTTAAAGACGATTGCATGGGAAGATGCATTATGATGATGAGATGATGAGAAGCAATGATGACCGCCACATTATGACACTGCGAATTATCATCATCACCACCACCAACAAATAAACAAACGAACAACAACAACAACAACAAACGCAGCCACCCATGAACGCAATTGCAATCGGGATTGAGGTGGGGTTTCCTAGAGACTTTGTCTTGCATCGGAGCGGGACCAGAACCAGACCCAATCCCAATCCCAATCCCAATCCCAATCCCGCCGCCCTGACCCTGCTTTCGCCTGCTTTCTCCTCCCTCCTGCTACAACACTTATTTACTCCCTCTGTTCCCCCTCCTCTTCGACCTTCTCTTCCTTCTCTTCCTCTTCTCAATTATTCCATTTCTCTTTTCTCTATTCTCTCCCCACCATTTGAATTGTCAGTGAGCTGTATATCTCCCACAGCTCGTGCCTGACCTTTGCCACGTAAATAATATACCCCTCTATTTCGATTACCCCTCCTCCACGTCATCATGTCTGTCCAGACCGTCTCCATCACCCCATTCTCCGACCAGAAGCCTGGAACGTAAGTCATGTCTGCTGCTACCCCCTTTCACCGTTTCTGAATCTAACAATTCACAGCTCTGGTCTTCGTAAGAAGGTCAAGGTCTTCCAGCAGCCCCACTACTCCGAGTCCTTCATCGCCAGCATCATCCTCTCCATCCCCGAGGGTGCTGAGGGTGCTTTCCTCGTCATTGGTGGCGATGGTCGTTACTACAACACTGAGGTCATCCAGAAGATCGCCAAGATCAGTGCTGCCTATGGTGTCAAGAAGCTGCTGGTCGGCCAGAATGGCATCCTCAGCACCCCCGCTGCTAGCAACCTCATCCGCAAGCGTCAAGCTACCGGTGGTATCCTCCTGACTGCTAGTCACAACCCTGGTGGTGAGTACAACCCCATGCCCCAGAACGAACAAAGGCAACCCGTGTCAAGCGACTGACAATGTTTACCATGCAGGTCCCGAGAACGACTTCGGTATCAAGTACAACTTGACCAACGGAGCCCCCGCCCCTGAGTCTGTCACCAACAAGATCTACGAGACCTCCAAGACCCTCAAATCCTACAACTACGTTGACATTCCTGACGTGGACATCTCCTCCATCGGTTCCAAGACCTACGGTGACCTCGAGGTTGAGGTCGTCCACTCCACCTCCGACTACGTCACCATGCTGAAGGAGATCTTCGACTTCGACCTCATCCGCAACTTCCTCCAGACCCACAAGGACTTCAAGGTCCTGTTCGATGGTATGCACGGTGTTACCGGACCCTACGGTGTGGACATTTTCGTCCGCGAGCTGGGTCTTCCCGAGAGCAGCACCATGAACTGCGAGCCCAAGACCGACTTCGGTGGTGGCCACCCCGACCCCAACCTGGTCTACGCTCACGAGCTCGTCGAGCGGGTCGACAAGGAGGGCATTCACTTCGGTGCCGCCAGTGACGGTGACGGTGACCGCAACATGATCTACGGTGCCAACACCTTCGTCTCCCCCGGTGACAGTTTGGCCATCATCGCCCACCACGCCAAGCTGATCCCTTACTTCAAGAACCAGGGCGTGTACGGCCTTGCCCGCTCCATGCCCACCTCGGGTGCTGTCGACCTCGTGGCTAAGGCCCAGGGTCTCCAGAGCTACGAGGTGCCCACCGGCTGGAAGTTCTTCTGCAACCTGTTCGACAACAAGAAGATCTCCATCTGCGGTGAGGAGAGTTTCGGCACGGGCAGCAACCACATCCGCGAGAAGGACGGACTGTGGGCCATCGTGGCGTGGTTGAACGTCATCGCCGGCGTCGCCCAGCAGAAGCCCAACGAGACCCCCAGCATCGCCTCCATCCAGAACGAGTTCTGGCAGACCTACGGCCGCACCTTCTTCACCCGCTACGACTACGAGAACGTCGACAGCGACGGTGCCAACCAGGTCATCGCCACTCTGGCCAAGTACGTCGACAACAAGGACTCGTTCGTTGGCTCGACCGTCTCCGGCCGCAAGGTCGCCGACGCCGGCAACTTCTCCTACACCGATCTCGACGGCAGCGTCTCCAAGAACCAGGGTCTGTACGTCAAGTTCGACGACGGCAGCCGCTTCGTTGTCCGTCTCTCCGGCACCGGTAGCAGCGGGGCTACCATCCGTCTGTACATCGAGAAGCACGAGAACGACGCCAGCAAGTTCGCCCAGAAGACGGACGAGTACCTCAAGGACAACGTCGCCCTGGCCCTGGACCTCCTCAAGTTCAAGGAGTTCATCGGCCGTGAGGAGCCCGATGTCCGCACTTAGAACCCTTTTTGCACATACCTACCTATCTAAATTACTTACTCTATACGAGCCTACGGAAATCAAGCACGTTGTTAATATAGCGATAGCGAAATAATAAAAACCCGCGCGGTAGCACTTGATCTATACTATTCATCAATAATCATTAATCGTCTTGAACCTGAAAAAGTCATAAAATCTTAGCTCGCTCGCTCTTTAAACCCCCAACCCCCAACCCATCAGCAACACCGCATGGAAAACCTCTCACGAAGAACCGGCCAACTTCCCCGCCCACCACTCCGCCCACTGGACCACCTTCTCCTCCCGCCGCGCCTCCTCCGCCGCAAACACCACCGCGTGGCTCCGCACCGCCTCCTCCAGCGTACACCCGACGAACCGCGCCTGGGCCTTCTCCGCCGCCCACCCGCCGTTGACCACCGCGTCCACGGCCGCCACGAACCCGCGCGCCAGCCCGTAGTCCCCGCCGCCGTGCGCCCTCTCCTCCTCCGGCGGCTGCTTCGGCACGTCGCGGCGCGTCGTCTCCCCCGTCGCGAACCGGAAGTACTCGATGCGCCGCCCGTCGTACGCCAGCTCGCCCTCGGTGCCGTACACGCGGCCGCGCCGCTCGCACTGCTTCTCCGTCGGCGCGATCATGTGGAAGACGGCGGTTTTGGCCGTCATTGGCTGCTGCTGCTGCTGCTGCTGCTGCTGCTGCTGGTGGGAGGGGTCCGACTGATCCGTTTGATCGGCCCACGTGATCGTCACCACTTGGTCGTCGCAGACGTTGTTGTCGGCTTCGTAGACGCAGTGGCCGTAGGACGGGGGGCCGCCGGGTTCTGTCCGGGAGAGGGAGCGCGAGGCGCGGAGGCGCGCGAGGAGGTGTGTGGATGCTGCTGCTATGGCTTTGGCGTCGGGGGTTGGGGTTGGGGTTGTGTTGGGGGGATGGTCTGCGGGGGACGATGCATCCGACGGCGCGAGGTACGGCGCCACGACGTCCTCGATGTCCGGGCACACGATGTTGACGGGCCAGTCGAACTCGCCGCGGGCCACGTGCCGCGCGTGGTAGATCTGCACGGCGCTGTACTTGCAGTCCCGCTCGGCGGGGCAGGCGAGGCAGTTGGTCGCGGCGCCGGCGGCGCGGGGTTTGCGGTGCCGGCGGAATTGGGTCAGGGAGCCGGTGGAGGTGATGGTGCGGGGGTGGTGCGGCTGCGGTGGTAGGGGTGTTGTGGTGCTTGCGCTGGTCGGGGCAACCGGGGAGGCGAGGAGCCACAGGATGAAATCGATGTCGTGGCACGATTTGGTCAGCAGCGAGCCGTCGCCCGCGGGCGTCGCGCGCCGCCAGTTGCCGCGGACGTAGCTGTGCGCGAAGTGCCACCAGCCCACGGGCTCGCAGTGTTCCAGGGACACGATGTCGCCGATGACGCGGTCGGTGAGGAGGAGGCGCCGCAGGAGGATGTTGTGCGGGCTGTAGCGGAGGACGTGGCCGATGGAGAAGATGGAGGTGGCGGTGTTGGGTTGCAGGGCGCGGTAGACGCCGAGGCAGTCGGTCAGCGAGAGGGCCAGCGGTTTCTCGCACAGGATGTGCAGGCGGAGAGGGGCGAGGGCGTGGATGATCTCCGCGTGCGTTTCGTCGAGGGTGCAGATGAAGACTCCGTCCACCCCTCCTGCTGCTGCGGCTCCAGTAGGTGAGGATTGACGGATGGGATTCGAGGCCAGCTCGCGACGACGGACCTCCCAGGCGAGCCAGTCGCGCCAGTCAGCGAACTCCTGCCCCTCTTGCGGGTGATCGTTGGTGCCCCAGATGTAGTTGCGGCCGAATTGGCGACGCTTGAAGGGATGGGGTTCGGCGACAGCGTGGATGATCCCCGCGGTGGAGCTGGTCACCGCCCGCCCATACGCATTGCCCCGCGATCCCGCACCGATGACGAGGAACCGCAGCGGGCGGGGAGAAGGATTGGCGGTAGGAGGAGTGGAGGGTAAGATGGGCAGGGCAGGCTCTTTCATTTTGGCTCCGATGAGTGGTGTGAGTTGGGGAAGAGGAGGTGGTTCAGAGTGGATGCCTAGGTCGGTATCATGGATGACTTTCAATATACTCGTAGGACAATGCTGAGAATACCTCACTGCTGGTTGGTCCACGACATCTTATGTCATCTGCCAGCAGAGCAACGATCGACAGTCATTGACAGGTAGTATAGAACTATGGAACTAGAGATCACTTAATACCGACGGATTGTCCATTAATTAGAAATTAACAGGCGAATGTACATTGAGCCCCCTCAAATAACAGAGTAAGAAAGAAATGAATTGGGGTATCCATATAAAAAGGAAAAAAAAAAAGAAAACAGGCTAGCAAGCAGTGCAGAATCAAGACGTGTCTCAAAAGACCCAGCATTCCTCCGTCGCGGTCTCCGAACTGGCCAAACAACAACCCCCTTCTTTCCTTGCCTGCCAGTCCATCACCAAGCTAGCTTCCAACGCTCGCCCAAGAACCCATGTACAACTTCTCCAAATTTATGTACAGAAACTCAAAAGCATATATGCACCGGGTAAAAGACGACAAACGCCGTCCACCATTTCCAGGCAAGCGTGGTTCAAATACTTTCCGTGAAGCGGCTGCCTCGACTGCCATCGAAACTAGGATGACTTCGACCTAACGCATCTGGCCGTTTAGGCATGGTCGGCGAAAGAGACCCAGACACCTGCACATGCACGGACGGAATCATACGCGGCGCTGAAGGTTCGCTGTTCAGACCACCACTGGACCCCGTCACAGTCCGAGCAGGAGATGGACGAAACTTGACCACCGGAACAGGCTCATCCGCCTCTCGAGTATAGCTCGTGTCTAGGGGCATGCCATACGGTGTAGTCAACGGGGGCTGCGAGGGGGGTTGCGAGGGAGGCGACCGCGGGATCACGGGAGATCCTGGAGCGGCATAAGTGGAGCTAGGCTCAGATGCCGTAGGTGAGGTCTGCTCGACGCCGCCACCATAACCATCCCCGCCCGAATGCAACACTGAGGGTATTTTCCGGCCCGAAATCTTCTGGAAGCCACGTTCGCTACTATCGGAGCACACCGAATCCGTCGTCCGAGTGGTCATGTGCGACTGGCGCCACCGTTGCATGAACGCCGGAGCAAAGTACGAGGCGGTAAACAACGGGTCATTGCTGGATCGGCGCGAAGTCATCTCCGCCGAGCGGGTGATGGATCCTTCAGTAGTGGCTGTACCAGCCATGTCCGCTGCGGGGAGAGCATCACGTGTCTGAGGAAGAATAGCCCTCTTGCGTCGGCGCAGCAGAAGCCAAAGCAAGACAACAAACACCATGGCACCCGCTACTCCCCCAACCACACCGCCAGCTATCTTGCCCTTGGCTTGAGTACTGAGACCGCCGGCGGCGGCGGCTGCGGTGGTTGCTGATGGTGATTGCCCGGTGGCAGTGGCGTCTGCCCCTCCCACTGCGCCATTCGTGGCCGTCCCCCAGGCTCCAGCGTAGGAGGACGTACCAGAGAGGGATGTCGTGGCCGTTTCGAATGAAACGTGAGAAGTCGTCGTGCCGGTTTGATAGCCGTCAACATAGGACACGCTCGGACTCGACGTGGTAACGGTACTGGAGGTCTGAGCCGAAGTAGCGTACGAGTCGGTGCCCGTGCTTGTCGGTGGAATAGGGGTGGAGGATGCCGGAAGATGGGTCGAGGCAGAGCCAAAGAGAGGAGTTGATGATTTAGACGGATTCAGACTGGACGGGGGGACGGAGGTGGACGGCTCAGTGGCCGTAGTCACTGTAGGGGTCTCTGCGGTGGGAGAAGAATACGCTGGCGACGCGGTCGATTGCCCGTGGGCGGATCCGGTTACCGAAGTTGGTGCCGTGACCGAGCCTGACTCCGCTGACAAGCCAGATGTCGTTGCTTGAGTGGACTGGTCAGATGTGGCGGAGGGGGTTTCTGTTGTGCTCAGCCCCGTCGTCTGTGAGCCGCTGTCCACCACGTTGACCACTGTCGCAACAACTGTCGTCTGATCGTCTGAAGATGTGTTTGATTCCTGACGTTTCATACGTGGCGATTGCCCACTGTTTTGTGACTGCTGAGTCTGGCTCTGCTGACCGATCACAAGCTCGCCCCCCACCCCGGACACCACATTTCCTTGCAACATCGTGGTCGGCAAATCTTTAGCGTCGTCTGACTGGTATCGTTTCCTCATCGATCTGTTGAATCGCGTATGCCCATTTCCATGATGGGCCATTCTGCCTAAGCTTCTGGTGCGCGTCGACCCGCCGATTTCTCACCCAAATGAATATGCGCAGTGAACCTCCACTATAGCCGTGTTGTGCTACCACGACTGCCCACTCTGCCCACTATACCGACTGAAACGAGGAAGTAAGGATATGAAATAAGGTTGTCTGCCTGCGAAACACGCGACTGCTCAGTGAAAGGAGTGTGGTGGCGAAGGCCGTTCGAAAATCGGTTCCTATGGAAGTCAAAAGAGCGTGGAGAAAGGAAACAAGTGACGAAATCCAGTCGATGAATAACGAAAGACGTCAGAAAAGAGAGTGCGATATCGAATGCTAAGAGAGCGACTGTCGAAAACGATTTAAAATGTTGCTGGTGAGAGTTCCCCACAGCGATGGTTTGTGAATAGCAATGAGTGGACGTCAGCCGGGACAAGCAGCCGACAAAAACCGGTCGAATAGGACAAGATGAAGAGAAGAGAACCCGAAAGGCATAGACGCAGACCTAGTGCGAAAGGCTGGCCTTGATGTCAGTATGTCTAACCAAAACAGCTCCATTGAATGCGGAATAATCGAAGGAGGGCAGTGAGATCCTGCAGATAGGTTGACTGACCTACCTGCAAACAAGAAGAAAAGAAGAAACAGCGGAAAGATACAATGGTGTGGTGGATCCAATGTTGTTCCGAGGTTGACCTGATCGTTGAATGGCTTATTGATTGCGCTTTCCAGTCAGATCCATACTGACCGAGCAGCAGAGCAACGCTTGCGGGAGGAGTTTTGAGATTGACCGCGGGGCGGCTCTAATGAGGGTCAAAGAAGAAGAGGAAGAAGAAGACCGAAGCTGAATGCGAGTAAATTGGTTTGAGGCTCCCACCGGGCAGAGGATCCACGCTAAACCCAAGGTTCCGGACCTAGTCTGCCACCACGGATTCTCGTCGGATATTCGCTTGTTCGCCCCGAGTGCGAGTTCGTGTCGGTCTCAGTTCGTCGGCGGAACTGGCGGGTACGATACTTCCTTTTGGGCTACAATAGAATCGCACTGGCCCCTTTCGTGGTTGGCACTGCTCACTGCGCGGGCTTACTGTACTGCACAGGGTTGGGATAGCCCAGCCAGTCCCGGCGGCGGTGGTTCCGTTGACGAACAAGAAAAGAACAAATGAATGGACTCAACCCCTCAGATCGGGAGGCAAGTCAAGATCAGGATTAGATAGCTTAATGCGGTGGATGCTAAGAAGAGAGATCGGGAGAAAAAAAAGATTAAAAAAGAAACAAAAATAGGAGATAGTCGAGGTTTGGGGGAATTGATAGGGGAGGGGAGGGAGGAGGAGGAGGGGGTGGAGGGTAAGAGGGAAGAGGAGAGGAAGAAAGAGGAGGGGAAGAAGAATAGTAGGCAAAGCTGTATGAGGCGAGGAAAGAGAGTAAGACGGCAAAACAAGACAAGAACAAGACAGAAAGAAACAACAGAGACAGCGAGTCTCGACATGACCTCCGCAGAACCCATGGAAACCACCCGCGTGGGCAAGCAGGCTCAAGTCAAGTCTCACTCAACTCCAACTCACTCCCCTCACTCCCTCAGTCACAGTTCGGTCAGGCCAGGCAAGCCTAAGAATAGGTCTTAGACCTGCAGCAGCGTCGACGTTAGTCGGAGTGGGTGCCGTACCGAAACCAAGCCAGTACAACTATGGGGCAATGAGACCACTAATTTGCTATCTTGCCAATCATAAGCCTGCATGGAGACTCGCAGATTGGACCATTACGTGGGAACGAAAGAAAGGTAATCTGCCAGAAGGCGCAAATAACTTGGAATAAATTTTGCCTTGAGTCGATGATTCCAGTCCAGTCGGAGAAGAGATCCAGGTTAGGAGAGCAATAATGTAATGTTGTCTGGATGAGTCTGTATGAGTCCGTTGAATCAAGATCCACACCCCCCCCCCATGATCCGCATGCAGACAAGGTTGTAGCCGCAGCCTGCCTGCCCATCATCTCCTGCCACTTTTGGGTTTCTGTTTTTTGTCTCTCAGGGCGGTCTTTCTCGGCCGGAGTTCCCTCTGATCTGTTGTTCAATGGGGATGCAATAATCACGTTTGCTTTTTCTGGTAGCTGCATAAGTATATGTTATGATGTACGTAAGATGAGCGAGGTTGAGTCCCGAGTTCCTGTTCCTGTAAGTTCTTCTGCCGTGCCGGCAACGCATTGCAAGTCGATGCTTGACCCAAAAAGGGGGATGCCAAGGCTGAGGTTAATAAAACGCCGGGCGCTAAGTTTCATTAGACCGTTAGGAAATGAAATGAAATGAAATGAAATGATATGATGATGGGGAGAGAGAACTTCCATCCATCAAATTGCACGGCCGACCACCGCCCGTCACACTGATGATGCCATCCCATTTTACTCACGACGCGACAGACCCTCTCTTGCTGCCAGAGTTGTCCAATCGTGCATGCCGATTCCCGTCTCTTGCGGGTGCCGCACATACACTAAGAGTACGTACGAGGAAAGATGGGTCGGGTCGGGATACAACAGGGCAACCAACCCATCGTCAACCGAATTGATAACAAGAAGCTAAGCACGCAGAATTTTCTCTTCGTTCTTCCGGTGGAAGAAAGGACTCCGGGCGCTTTGACTGCTCCCAGATTATCTGCATGTATGCATATGACAATGATGGTGTTTTCGCATTCATCTGAGCTTTCCGAGCCGTTCGGAGGACAGGACCATCGAGAGGACGTAAGGGGAGCCCTTCCCACCCCCATTGTCACCACCAGCGCGGCAAGCTACTCGGAGGGGAAGAGTGACTTTGCTTAGCCAAACGGTTCGGTCTGCTAAGCAAGGACCCGGGCGGGCCATATGCACCTCAAATTCCCCAGGCCGGAGCCAGACTCGCCCACGCGATATGCACTTCGAATAAGCATCTGTTTACAACATATTGTCCTACCCATGACAATGCAAGCCTGAGCATCAAGCCTGAGCGTCATGG